CATTGAAAGGAAATTTTTCTTCAAGGCATTTATATAAAATTGTGTTGGGGTGATAACAGAGCCCCAAATATTTTAAATCAATCACAGCTGATGCGGCAGCTTCATCCACTTAGTGGTGTTCCCTGGAAGGTTATAGATGCTGATGCTTGGATTTCTCAAGTTGGGGGACCGAGAGCCCTGGGAATCTTGGTTCCTGTGTGAATAATGGGTGAACTTTGAAGATTGTCTTTTTCTAATCTGTGACTTAACTGTTTCACTTCCAGACACCACTTCTAAAAAAAAAAAAAAATTGGAAAAAATATTGGGGTGGGGAACACCCTGGAAGTGTTTGCAGAGGGCCTAACATGCTTGGAATTGTGAGCTCCGAGGAGACACGAGGCTGGGTCAGTGGGGAGAGACGTTGCCGTTCATGGACTCGGAATATCGAATGCAATATCGATTTGCTTTGTTTCCCAAAAGGGGTCTTAACACATCGGACCTTTCAGAATGCTGACATCAGGCTGACGGCGAGACGAGGTGGGGACATGGGGGCTGCTGGGAGCCTGAGCTCCTTGAGCAGAGGTGTGCACCCACCCTGTGGGAAAATCTGTCCGGTTAACCGAAGTGACCCACCCGTTGGCTGGAAACAGCTCCGCGTACCTCCGATTTGCTGAGTCCTCAGATCATGGTAGCCACCGACTGATTTTGATGAGCAAAATGCAATCTTTGTTTTATTATTCTGGGCAAATGTCATGCAGTGACACAGAATTTTGACCTCAGTATAAGATTTAAAACTTCTTCATACTGTCCTACAACTGTGTCAAGATTTACTGAGGTTGGCCACCCAGAAGTGAAAATGAAGATATTCCTGGGGTGTTTTGAGAACTCCAATCCTGGGTCCTGTTAAGAATTCACACTTTGATGCAGGTTTATATTATTGTTTATAGTGTTTCCATCTTGCGCATCACCAGCAGCCACACAGGGTAATGCTGGTACAGCACAGGGTTGGTGGGGTGTGGTTTCCTAATGAGACTCGAAGTCGTCCAGTGTTTCAGCCCAGCTGTGAGACATCCACACCTCTACTATCTCAACAATCATCTGCGTGCTCCAAGACAAATACTGTTATTCACGGACATGCCCTTATCATGAAATGGCCTATACCCCAGGGAAAGTGGGAGGTGTCGGGGTTGCTTGAGAACCAGGTCTTCCCCCACATAGAGAAGCCCTTATTCCCTCAACTCTTCTGAGACGCTGGTGGGTGCGAGAGAGGGGTGGTGGACTTGGGGCACAGCCTGGAGCCATCGGGCCGGGATGATGGACAGAGCCGAAAAAGTGGCCTGAAGGGTATTTATTTAACTTGTGGTTTGGTATGGATGTAATCCCAGGGCTGAATTTTAACCTGAACTAGTCCACAGCTTAAAGGTACTTGGAAGATGAGGCCAGATCCGAGGACCCTGCGTGGCCAGGCAGCCTTGCCCCAGGGAAGTCAGCAGGAATAATGCTTAGTAAAGCCCTCAGCTAGCTTCCCTTCTGTGCATTCCTCTAGCTTGGTTTTAGGATCCATCTAGTCAGGCGGTGCCTGAGCTATAGTGCCCAGATTTCGGGAAAAGTCCATGCAGACCACGACACCTTCTGCCTTGCCTCTGCCTGGTGCCCACGCCTGGTGCCCTCTGTTGCCCCTGTCCTTCCGTTTCCTGTAGCCCCGCTGCTCCCACTCCTCCCCGGGGTCACGGCCCTCGTGGCACTCTGCCCTCTGTCCACGTACCTGGGACCCCCAGATCCCTGTCCGCCGTGCCCTGGGCTGACTGTGCCCCGCCGAGGGCTGGTGTGGAGGAGGTGCGGATGTGGCCAGGCTGGCCAGCAAGGCCCCTTTCCCACAGCTGCTGTGGACAGAGGTATGTTAGCACATCCCGAGTTCGAGCCCAGAATGCTCTAGAAACACTGTTCTCACTGTGGTCAGGCATGCTGTGAAATCAGGTAGGGTTTTGCTATGCTGGCTCATTCTGTGCTGCTCACTTACATCGAAGCCTGGTCACGCGGTCCTTACATACCAGGTTCAACCTTGCGTCCAGAGGCTGTGACACCAGGACAAGTCTCAGGCCTGTTTTGCAATTCTTGACGTTGTTTCCTAGAACAGCTTGTCTGGGGTCAGCACTGATGACCTGGCAGCTTTTTATCCCAGTGAGGTGCTCTGAGAGACATCAACAAAGGGTCCGGCGGGGCCCCAGGTGGATAAATCAGTTACCTCACGATTCGTGATTTTGCTGTGATTCCATGCCTTACGGTTCTGAGTATTCAAAAGATGTTGACGGGGAAAGGCTTCTGTGGGAAGAGACGTCATCATGGGCGAAGGCATTTGTGAAGACCCGTGGGATGACTTAGTGTGCACTTTGCACAGGGAGGGCTCTTCCCTGTTCATCCCCATCACACCAGACTTTCTCCATTGCGTGAGATCCAAACAAAGCTCTCAAGTCCTATTTACCGTGGAACACGCGTATTGACGTCAGTTTAAAATCATGGTTTATTAAGTACTTGGATGCTGTGCCTGCTCTATTGCACGTCGATGTTCGGTGTGTCCAGCGCCCAGTCGGCTCAGGTCGCAAGCAGACCAAGCCACGTGGGACCTTGGTTCTAGGATCACGGTGACAGTTCGTCTTGTGGGGCACAGCCCCAGCCTTGGACTGTGTGAGGGAGCTGGGGGATATATCAGACATCATTGTACTGGTGAGAAGGTGCTTCCAGCGTCTCTGAAGCTATTTTTTAAACTTCCTGACATACATTTAGATAATGATTTTTTGCACAGGGTATGGAGACACTGTGGCGTGGAGACTCTTGATGGGCTTCTTTCATATTAACCATGTCTGAGGTACCTGGTTAGGGCATTTCAGTCGCTCGAAAACTGCCCTGGTGTTGATTTGAAGTGAATTTTTGTACACATCGTACATCATTCCGACTGGACTGATGGTTTTAAAATAAGTTATGTGGCCAGTTGTTCGATGGACTTGGAATCATGTGCAAGCCTTATATGTTATTATTCAAAC